AACAGAATTGAAAACCCAGAAATAGATCCATCCATCTGTGGTCATCTGATTTTGACAAAGGGCTGAAATCCATTAAATGGGGAAGAGATGGTCTCTTTAACAAATGGTGCTAGCAAAACCAGATATCCATTTGCAGAAAAATGAAACAAGATCCATTCCTCACACTACACACAAAAACTAACTCCAGATGGATCAAAGACTTAAATGTGAAACCTCAAACTGCAGAGTTCATCAAAGAAAATACAGGGGCAAACTTACCCACTGCCATCAAGTCAGGTCAGAGTCACAGTGACCACTCCTTGGGTTTCTGAGGTGATATCACTACAGAAGTAGATTACCCAACCTTCTTAGGGGCCCTAATTTATGGCATACATAGACTATCAAGTATAACCCAAAATGCACAAACAGCAGAAGATAAACTAGATGACTGGGACCTTCTAAAAATTAAATTCTTATATGCATCAAAAGATTTCTCCAAAAGAGTAAAAAGAGAACCTACAGATTGGGAAAAATATTCAGCAATGACCTATCTGACAAAAGACTTATCTCTAAAATTTACAGAGAACTCCAACACTTCAATCTTAAAAAGACAAACAATCCAATTGAAAAACAGTCAATGAACACATGAAGAAATGTTTGTGATATTAGCCATTAAAGAGATGCAAATCAAAGCAACAATGACCTACCATCTCACTCTAGCACTAATAACAAAGTTCAACAAGACAGAAAATAACAAATGCTGGTGAGGATGTGGAGAGATTGGTACCCTCACACATTGCTGGTGGGACTGTAAAATGATACAACCACTGTGGAAATCAGTATGGCGATTCCTTAAAAAAATTGTAAATAGAAATACCATTTGATCCAGCAATCCCATTACTAGGTATATATCCTAAAGAAGTAAGAGCCATGACACAATAGATATAAGCATACCCATGTTCATCACAGCACTATGCACAATAGCAAAGAGATAGAAACAATCTAAGTGCCCATTAACAGAGGCATGGATAACCAAACTGTGGTACATACACACAATGGAATACTATGCAATACTAAAGAATAAGGCAGAATCTGCAAAACACTGCATAATATGGATGAACTTGGAGGACATTATGCTGAGTGAAATAAGCCTATCACAAAAGGAAAATATTGTATTAGCTCACTATTGTAAAAAAGAAAGGAAAGGTTTATACATGGAAGGAAACTTTCTTTATTGGTTACTAGGGATGGGAGGGGAGGAAAATTCGTAGTTTAGAGGAAAAAAAAAAATCTGTATCTATATATAAACCAAAGATTATTAGTGGCTACCAGGAATAGGAGGGAGGAGGAAAAGGGAGACTTTTGTTTGAGGGGCATTGAGTTTATGCTAATGGTGGTAGAATGTTTTGGAAAAGAATAACATAATGGTGGCACAGTCTGAAAAATGTCATCAATGTCCCTGAGCTGTAAATGTGGAAGTTGTTATGTTCGTGAATGTCTTCGTGTATATGTTTTCACCACAATAAAAGTGAAAGAAAAATTATATAAACTGGATTAACTTTTGGGACCCATAACTATAAAAGATAGCAGTATCCAGTATAACAGAACACAAGGGCTATCTTTACCAATAAAATTTAATGCTCAAACTAAGTATTTATTTAAATTCATGTTTCTATTTCCCTACGTAATAAAAGAAATGTATTCTTGAAAAAAATGAGATTTGTAGGGGCTTTGTAATTTCTAATACATGTCTTCAGATCTATGTGCT